GCCACCGTCTTTCTTCTTTACCAAGACGACTGTGGCTGCCCTTGGGAAAGCAGAGGGTTGTATGACTACCTTTTTCAACATCTCGTCTATGAGCTTTTGCAGCTAGCCTTGCCAGTGCACTGGGATCCGTCTTGGGTGAGTCTTAATCGGGGTCGTATTCCCCGTGTCGATTAGGTGTTTCACGACGCTGGTGCGGCCCAGGTCTCCAGTCTGCCAGGCGAATGCATCAGAGTGGGCTAGCAGCACTTCTTTGAGCTTTCCTAACGTTCCCTCTTCCGCTGGCAACACGAGTGAGCGGATAAACGTGTCTACCCGGTTTTCTTCGTCAGAGGGGCTCCCACAAATCGTAAACGTTGTACGACTGTCAGCGTGGCCTTGTTTAAGCAATACAACGCAACTTTCGGTGATCAACTGGCATTTGTCTAAATCTAAGTGACATCTCAGACGTCGCAATAAGTCCATTCCAATGATTACAGCAAATGGCAGGTTATCAGCGACAATAAACTCATGGCGGAACTTCTCGTTAGCAATGTGCACCTGAGCAGTGATAGAAGCCCGAACAGCCAGGGGTTCCCCATTAGTAGCGGTCAGATGACATTACCATGTTGTCCACAATCAATCTGTCAGCGACTTGGATGAAGCTCCTGCATGCCTGGCAAGCGTTCTCCCTATAAAAAGCCACAAATGTCCGTTTAACAACACTGCAACGTGGCGAATGTGACTCGCCACCGAATAAAGTCACAGCCCATAACTTCACACTGGCAGCTCAATTAGAATCATCATACTGGATAGCTTGCTCTTCAATTATCTTCCAATGGATCACTCAGGATTCTTTATCTATCATTACTCGAGGTATGACTGCGATATATGGCAGAGCGATTATGTCCAAACAAATGGATCCCGATCCCACTACAACCAAATCGTTCTTTCGCATGTTCACCATCGCACAGTTCCAAGCATGGACATATGAACAATTTTCTACTGTCACTACAGTTCCCATAAAATGTCTGTACAGCCGTACATGCCTGATCATGCCTCAATTGGCGTGCCCCGCATAGTCGAGAATAAATAAATATTTATTTATTTATTTAGACCTACCAGTGGCACCCCTTCTACGATTAGCTCTATCGTTAATGAAAATGCGGACGTTGCACTAGTGACGGCGGGAATGAAAACTGACTTCAAACGACCGCACTCACCTTGATGATTTCGCCTGCCACGGCTTGGCGGGAAATTTCCTTTTCTTGGTGGAGGGGGGCGGGGCCTTCGGAAGTACGATAGCACTGGAGGTCGCGAATAATCCCCTCGAAACGGGACGCGATTCCAATTTCTTCGGTCTGGTGGTTGGAATCCAGCGTAGCTGTATCGATTCAGCACGCAGCATGGTTCCATGGGGCCCATGAACTCGTCGACTTGCTCTAATTGATCTGCCACGGTTAAGGCTGCCTGAAGACACGTAGGTCGCCGCAAACGGCACTGTCTTTTTACCGATGACGTCTGGATGCCCTCGAGCAACTGCTCTAACACTCGCTCGTCCTGTTTTTCCGGCGTTTCATTTGTGTAGGCATTTACCACCATCCTCCGCAATTCGCGAACGAATGTTTCCACGTTTTATCCTGGTCTCTGATACCGGGTATGGAAAACTCTGCGCAGTTCATCGGGCAGGCCAGGCCGATCTAAGATGCGGCGAAAGGCAGCGAAGGTTTCCGTGGCGACTTCTCCCTCTAACACTTTACTATCCGTAACTTTGTCGAATGCCTCTCCTGCTAGCAGGCCCATGATCACCGTACCCTGTTGTTGGGCTGGAAAGTGCTTGACGTACATTTGCACCTGTTTCTCCCATCGGAGATATGGCATGCCTGGGAAAAACTATTCTGGAGGGAGTAACGGGGGTGTGGAAGGGGCGGGTGTCAGATTTGTTGTCATCTTCCTCATAGCGTCCGACAAGGATTCCAAAGCAGAAGCAATCCTTACCCCCGGATCGGAAGTCAGCAGCTGAATTTCATCACCAGACAGTTTACCTGGCTTTGCCATTATCTCTTGATCCTGGCAGGGTCGCCAATTGTAGAATGCAGACAAGGGAGAACCACAAGGATTGAGATGTAAGTTCTATTACGCAACACGTAGGCTCTAAAAGAAAGAATCAGTAACATAGGAAGGGATGAAAGAAAAGTTACAGTCAACTGTTCGCTGTGCTCTTCAAGGCACCAAGAGACCGCTGGTGAACTACTTCCGAATATTTGGCGGGCGGACTTTAGTGCAATGCGAACTAAGGTTTCAGTTCTGAACTGTGAGATCTCGATGGCTGACTCTGTCCAGTTAGCCTGGGATAAATTTAAGGCATACCTTACGGAGGTTTCCACTCTCTATATTCCACTCATGAGGAAAAGAGGGTTAAGGGCACAGCCTCCATGGATAGATACCACAGGCAAGTTCCTACTCAAGAAACGGTCTAGATGCTAGCGAACCTACCAAGCAGCTCCATCAGCCAGTACCTATGATAGTTATCGAGAGAATAGAAATAAATGTAAGCAACATCTCAGAACTGCTCGTCTCCAATACGAGCAGGGTTTAGCGGACTCGGCCGCAGCTAATCCCAAGAAGCCTTTTGCTTACGTTAAAAGACGCAGCGGGGCAAAACTGTCTATACCAGCTTTATTGCGAGCAGATGGCACCCGTGCGCAAACTGACTATGACAAGGCTTGTATACTGAGTTATCAGTATACTGGGGTCTTTGCTCGGGAGACCTCTTTACCACAGGTTGAATTGGTTTCAAGAGTTCCAGAGGATTCTTGCTTAGCTGAATTTAGCATAACGGCGACTCAGGTCTTCGAGCTACTGCAAGGCATTAATCCCTCTAAAGCTTCCGGTCCTGATTCAATTCATCCGAAGCTGTTGCATGAACTGGCCACTGAGCTGAGTGGTCCGCTCACGTGCGTATTTTTAATATCGCTGCACAGCTGCAGCCTACCTTCGGAATGGAAGGAGGCGATCATCTGTCCGATTTTTAAGGGCGGTGACAGCGCTCTACCCGCGAACTACCGGCCTGTCAGTTTGACAAGCGTAGTAGTCAAGTTGTTCGAGAAGCTGATAAGGGATTCAGTTGAGAACCACCTGAATCGATTCAACCTTCTCAATGTTGCACAACATGGATTCCGCAAAGGATTTTCATGCCAGACTAATTTACTTGTAGCTCGTGAAAGCTGGGCCGAAGCGGTCGACAGTGGCCACGCTGTAGACGTGCTATTCGTAGATTTTTCGAAAGCTTTTGACACTGTTCCACATCTTCGGCTCTCACTAAAGTTGAGATCTTACGGGATATCTGGTCGCGCCCTTCAGTGGGTGTCTGCCTTCCTTGAGGGGAGGGAACAGTGCGTACGGGTGGGGCTTAGCCTTTCGCTCAGGCAAGCTGTCCTTAGTGGCGTTCCGCAGGGCTCGGTATTGGGGCCATTGTTGTTCGCGATCTGTGTAAATGACTTGCCGGGAGAGCTAGGGGTGTCATCATTAATGTTTGCTGACGACCTTAAGCTCTGGAATATTGTGGATATCCCGGGGGGTCCTGAGGCAATTCAGCGTGCCTTGGATAGGCTCTGCGAATGGTCTATCTTATGGTTGATGCCCATAAATAGGGCGAAGTGCTCTGTTCTCCGAATCGGAGCTGCAAATCCTGCCACCCGATATGTTGTCGGCGGTGGTGAACTCCCCGTTGTCACTCAGCAGGTTGATTTAGGAGTCGTACATGCATCAGCACTTCATTCTGGAGACAACTGGAAGAAGGCTGCTTGTCGCGGGTTTCGTATGAGGTGGTTTATCCGCCGCTCTTTCGGAATCTTAACGGGCAATTTGTTTGTGAAGCTATTTTCGGCATTCGTCCGACCCCACCTGGAATAGTGTATTCAGGCTTGTCCACCATGCCTTAACCGAGACAAAATGGACTTGGAGAGGGTGTTACGAGTGGGCACTCGGTTAGTGCAGGGTCTACGGGGACAGACGTATCCTGAACGCTTGCTCAGTTTGGGTATGTACTCTATGCACTACCGAAGGATAAGGGGGGACCTGATTCTCACTTATCGTATTTTGACGGGTAAGATTGGCCCGGACTTGTCAGGGCTTTTTAGTCCCGCTACGTTACCTAGTCTCCGCGGTCACCCACTGAAATTGCATAAACCACGGTCTGATAAGATTAGGACGGAAACTCGTCTATCGCGCCGAGTTATAGATCGCTGGAATTCTCTTCCAGATCATGTGGTTAGGGAACCTACAGTTAAGGGTTTTGCGCGCCAGCTCGATGCTCTTGGGTGGCAACAGCAAACCTTTCCTTTTTCCTAGCCGACTCACCTTCACTTTTCAGTTCTTTTTTATTGACTCAAATATCTTGGTATTCCACTTGCTTAGCTATTACCACTTTCTCTTTTGCCTTCTGCGTTTACTTTTTTCTCTTTCTTACTTCACGTAACCGACCCAGCAGGGACTGCTAGGGCAGGATACGTGGGCATTAATTGGTTGGACAGGGTGTGATGCGGTCTTTGTTTTAGGTCCATCAATATTTCAAAGTTCGCCAACTCCTGGTTCAACGACCCGCTGAAGAAGGAACACGCACGGGATAATCCTATCGTTCCAGTCCCACTTGAACTTGAACTTCAGGTTTTTGTCCTTCTTCAATAATTGCGCAGGAGTGTCTTTCTGAAAGGCAGACAGAAAAGGTGTCTTCAGAGCAACGATTTAAATTCAACCACGCGCCAAACTAGTTTCGATCACTCTTTACAACTGAGCAGTCCACGCAATGACCTTAAAAACGTGCGCTTAAACGCAGGTTGTTGCATTCGGTTATTACACATACTGTTATAGCCCATTTACATTCCGAATGTCACTTACTGTTACGAAGCACATGATACTCATTAACACTAGGAAAAATTGGCATTTTATGGTAACCTCAATACCGACTAGTGGAACACTATCACCTCGCGCTGTATGTAGTCTGTTGTCCTCCCTCGCAGACTATGCGGGGTTCTGATGATCTTTACTTCCTCTTGCTGCATACTGAATTCTTAGCGCATTCTTTCGGCAAGAAGAAGCAGAGAGCGAATTTCTTCGATTTTGGCCAGGTAACCTAGTAGTTATCATTTTTCTGGACTATCTTAACGACACTGTCATTTGTTCCGATTTGCCATACACAGCATAGATGTACACATTCCCGTCTGATGCGTCTATTATTCCTTTTTTGCTACCTGGTAAACGTTAACTTGCTATCTGCTGCAACCGATGTATATTTATTTTTTTCGCAAGTTGCGCCCTCCATGCGTCCAGCATCGAAGTTCAAGTTCAGTTGGGACCGGGAGGATAGCATAATCCCTTGAATGTTCCTTCTTTGTGTATCGTCGCCCCGGGAATTGATAGGTCTGCTTGAGGTGTTGAAAAGCCTAGAACAGACCGCATCACACCTTACGGTTCTTACTGGCCTTATCCGTATGACCGATAAATGTCCTCTTGGAGTGACGGAGCATCCTGTGTGACCGTTTGTTATGCCCCTGCCCGCCATAGTTGGGCACATTTGGGACGAATTTCGATCTTTCAGAACATGTTTTCCACTGCAGTCTCATCATATACCGGAATGAACTTTTCCTAGTTACAAATACTGTCAACAATGAGCGAAAATTGATTCCCGAATTGTGTTTACAAAGAACTAAAACCGTGAGGCTAAACCGCAACTTTTTGAGTGATGGAACTGTCCCAAATGAGTCCAACCAGGAATGTCAGAGACAAAAGCGGTCACCCTATGCACTCACGTTGACCAGCATTCGATATTATTAAAAAGTAAATCCTTGCAGTCAAAGGACGGCTGTGTTGAAAGTGCATAATAACTTTTAACAATATACTCGTGTATTTATTTTCACATTTAACCCCTGTGAGTGACCAAACACACCGAAATGGGACGGCTAGCCGTCCATCTGTGCGGACTGCGTATTTCTTCTTGCACAACTGTTGGAACAAATGAATGGTCAGGCATACTGTTTGCGCTTGTTATATTGTAGCGACCTGGAGATTCCCCCGTATGACTGTGTAAACTATTCTAAAATACATTCAAATTATAGCTTTCTTATGTATTAGGGAACTAGGCGGTTTGCCTGTTGGAACGTTGTTCCCGTTTGTTGAATACACGAACGCCATCTCCGCCTTTGGCGCGCGACTCGACTGCGAACGACGCTCTGTCAACGCACTCGACGGCAACGACATTCTCCCTAGCTAGCTCTCTCTGGGTGCCCTATTTTTAGCATTAGCTAACGCTCCTCCCGTCCAATAAACTTCTTCCCTAGTTTACTTTTGTGTCTTCTACCCACCGCTTTTGGTTGGCCGTTTAGTCGCGTACCGAGTTTATAGCGCACGATCTACGCGCTATAATATTATTCAACACCTGACCAATATGCAACTAATAGTGCCACAGCACATAGTTAACAACAACAACAAAAAGGGGAAAACAGGTAGCCAGGGAAAAGGTTTGGAAAGTCTACAAGCCTACTGTGTTGTTCGGACCGAAATCTTCCCGTTTGCCCAGGCTAAGGAAGACCGTTGACTTAAGGGACCCCACCCCGAGCCTTTGGTCATAGAGACTTGACCCGCAAGTCAGTGGGACAATTAACAGAGACCGTTGATATCCGGGTAGCTCATTCGCCTCCTTTGTGTTCAGTAGCTGTCCACAAAGAAACCGGTGGCCAACAAGGTTGTTCATCCGCCCTCCGTTGGGTACTCACTTCTGGTTACAGAGCTGTTGTGGTATTTGATGAAGAATCAGGGAACCATCCCAGAACCATCCACTCTCTGTGACGTTGCCGCTGATTGTCTGCGACTGATTATTCATCTCTGCTGTAAGGTAAACGAGACTTATTCGCAGTTACCTCCATAAGCAAGGTATTCCCCGATCCGCAACTTGGGGACGCGCCCGATAGCGTACAGCTCCGCCACCGATTTGCGCTTGTCGATCACTGGTAGAAAAAAAGAAGTGCTTTATGTTTAATTATCTAATATATTATGTTGCATCATTTAAACCAATGGTCTACGTGCAACTCCTTACTTTTTAACAACGGTCGATTGTCGCTGTTACGATTTTTTTTGTCTCTGACCGTCTCAGCATTACACATTTGGGACGAATTTCGGTGCAACTTTAGGGCTTCAGCCGGCCTGTAGCCTAAAGCTAACGAGCTTGTCTCGTAATCTTGCGGCGCGGGTTCTAGCCTACGTAGGGCAGGAGGACCCTCGCGGTATCTTTAGCCCGCGTGCGAACTGTGGTGGTTACGTAGCAGCGAAGCGTCGGTACTGCACAACGGCGTACTATCGATGCCTTCTATTCTCTTTAGGGATTCAGTACTACGTTATTAATATTTGAGCACGGAATATTGCTTAAGTTGGACGGCACTTGCATACAAAAAGTGCACTCACAACATGTGTTAAGGACGCGCTAAACTAATGTTTTCTTGAGTGATCGAACTCACGTCGTCAGTCCTCATGGACGAAATAAGCCTTCGTCTAAGGAGGGTCCTGCTTCGTATGCCAGTAAACAAGTCAAAACCCCCGGCACTTCGACGTTCAAACTTCCTTTCCTCTGCAAAAAGACAGAGAGGAGTACGAGCAATCTATCTTGACTTCATGAACAGTCTTAGACATCCTAACTGTGCAGTTCCGAAACAGTGTTAACCGGTTTACACTTAGCCCTTTTTAAACGCTATTAACGTAGTACATTCCAATAATGCAGAGGAAGCGAGGTGAAACATTTCATCCGCATATCCATTCTGGACCTCTGCTACATGAGCTTCAGCTAGTGTCCCCACATCTGGTCCAACGTAGCTCTTCCAAAGCAATCGACAGGTTTAATGCCAATGAGACCACAATTTCAGCCCTTTCTATCAGGTCTCCCCGTAATCTGCAGCGTTCCAATGAGGATAACTCTAAACAAGTTAGTCGGTCAGTATACGACTTTTCACGCTAGCCTACAATCATTCGAGTGACAAGTCTTTGTACCTCCTCTAGACAACCGCCATCTTACAGAAGTTATGATGCCTAAACTTGAACTCAATATTCTAACGAACGGCAAATTTGTACAAAGGAAGGAAGATTTTAGGTTTAGTATTGCACAGTGCTCCCCTACGGCAGGAAAGCTTCTGCTACGCTTTGCTCGCAGCATGTTGACACTGCTCCGATGGCTTGAAACTGTCTACCATGACTACCATTGTTGACATTCAATGGCAAATCCCACACTTCCGGCGATCTTTCTACAGTGCCCAGGTCTTTGGACGCGTTTCTATTTCCCCTACTGACATGCTTTACGTCGTTCGCAGACATGACAAGAGTCCTCGAGGAGTGGGACAAGAACATTAGGCTGCATCGGCGAGTTAGATTCTGCGGTTTTCACTGCTCCGCCTCATAATCAGCCACTACCCCGCAGATAACTCAGCACCAATCGCACTTTAAACGGGCGGTCCAACTAGATGGCAGCAGACACGTCACTGGTGTCGACTGCGAGTCATGTCCTGTAACTGCTCAAAGCCGAATACAAGGCGGTTCACGTGTACTCCAATCTGGATAGCGAGACGGACTAACAGCACCGAGTTTGACCGTTTGTTACTTAATTTCTCGCTTCCAAGTTAACTTTCGCTCACCTCAGGCTTTGCCCCACTCTACCTCTAACAAACCAAATAAGGCTGTCCTCAGTAACCGGTGACCAGGCATGCCTTGCAGTGCACAAGCCAACGCAACTTATTCAGTGCTATCTTTCGTTTTAAGGAAATAGCCTGGTTATCACTGCTTAGTGTTGGCTTACGCACATCATCGTTACGGACACACTGGTGCCATCTGACACTAGCAATACTCCGCAGACAATAATGATCAAAGACTTGAAAGCACTTCAGGTCCTCAGTTTGAAGGGACCAAGTCTCACTATCATAGAGTAGGATTTCCCTCACTGTGGCCTTGTAGACACGATTTCTTACACGCAGGGTAACCCCTTTCTGACGCCGCAAATGTTGCAGATTCAAAAAGGTAGTTTTAACTTTTGCAGTGCGTGAACTGACTTCGGCTGCTATACGCCCGTCGTCGCTGATGCCGCTGCCAAGGTAGGTGAAATGATCGACTACCTCGTGTTCCTTGCCATCAGCGGTCAAGTGGTCGTCAACTGGCTGGTGATCCTGTAACAGCATCTTGCACTTCGAAGGTGTGAAGCACATGCACCACTCTGGAGGGGTTATTCAGCGTTGATTACGCCACCCAAACATCGTTAAAAAGCAGGATAATATCGTCTGCATAATCGGGATCAACTGGTTTTTCACCAGGCAGCACCTCAACGCCTGCATCGGGAAGCTCCGCAAGGGAACTATCTATGATGCAGTCCACGACGAAGTTGAATAGAAGTGGGGAAATTGGACAACCTTGACGAACGCCACTTGTTGTCAGAAAGGTATCCGACAAATCAGCGTAGACCGGGGTCTACGCGGCCTGTGGCGTTCGAGTGCAGTGCAGTGAAATATTCACATATTTCATGGGAACGTCTTTCCGCACAAGTATTTCGAATAACATAGATCTATCGACCGAATTGAATACACTCTTGAAGTGGAGGAACACCGCTATTGTCGGCCTGCGATACGTGTGACACTTCTCTAGCACCTGCGGCAGAGCGAATATGTGGTCTATCCAGCCCCGTCCTGGGTGGAAACCTGCTTGCCCTTCCCTAATGCGTGGTTCTCGCCCCGTATTGGGGCGACGAACGAGAATTGAAGCCAGTAATTTTGTAACCATCGGCGTTAGGCTACTATCTTTGTGGTTAGCAAAGTCGGTGCGGCTGTCCTTCTTGTATGCTGCCACTATCATTGTTAAATTGTGCTTAGCGCCAGCTGGGCGAATTCCATCTCGTTCACTGACTTTTTGGATATCAAGTAACTATTGCTATGGCGACTGATGATGCCACGAGCAGAGGTTCCGGCGTCTTGCATGCCGGCCGTGATTCTGTTTAACTGTAGTTCTGTGTCCATAGGGTGAGAAGGTGAAATTTTAGTATGCAAGCTATTTTGTTAGGCATTGATAACCTCTCAGCTATCAATCGGAGGAGGCGCACTTAACA